CTGTTGTGTAACAGCAGCCCAGGCTTTAAAGTTGGAAAACTCCAACTTTAAATTGCTCTTAAAATATTGTTTCTATATAATTCTTAGTTCTGCCTGACATTTCCTCTATTCTGCTGTTTGGAACTGGAGCAAGTATTGCAAAATTTATTAAAATCATAACTTTTTTCTTTTCTAGTGACAGATGCTGGTTTAATTTAAAAGGATCTCCTGCTTGAACTTCTAGGAGGTTTTACAATGTGAATTATAACTGTCTGAAACCTGGAGGCTTTCCTAAAAACGTTGGCAGGCACAACAGTCTGAAACCATGGGAAATCCTACCTTTGCTTTAAGAGGTCACAGTTATGCAGTTCACAGAGGCAAAGGTAAATATTACTGACACCGCCTCACCTAGCCAACATGGGAGAATGATGAGGTAAATTATGTTTTTAGAAAGAAAAGGCAATATGATGGGCTTTTCCCTCCCAGAAAACCATGTATTGTGAGCAGGCAGCAATAAAACACAAAGGAATCCAAAAGCACAAATACAGAGGCCTTTTGGATAGTTCACTGAAAACATCAGCTCAATATGCTGCAAAGGTCAAGAAGGCAAATGGAATGTGACAGACTATTAGGGAAGAAAAATTACAGACAATCTAACAGCACTGTAAAATTTGCAGCTGTGCAAACTGCAGATTCTACTTTGAGACGGGTTAGGATGGCTGAAAGTTTGACAGCCCACCAAGGAAAGTAGATCATGGCTGTGGTGCAAAAGGGGTAGGACCTCTCTCACCAAAATAAACAAATAAACCAGTAGATGCAATCCTCTACCCAGGATTAAATAACACAGCTTGGGGTTATTTTGGGTGAGAAATCATCCCCCTGTCAAAAGCCTGTTGCACATGGAATATAAGGATACATTATTGAAGGGAAGATATCTAAATCTTGTCTGGCCTAGCAGAGTCAGTCCTGATTAATAGTTTGACTGGAGGCTCCCAGGGCTGTAGAAGACCACGCAGACCATTTCTGTCCTTTTGCCCAGAAAACTGCACAACTATGTTGAAGATTCACTAGGAGTTGAAGTCAGTGTTAAGGCATCTTGAACAATGAATCACAATCCCAATAGTCCTAAGGCAGACAGATACAGTATGCTGATCCATATCAATTGAATGTCCTTTATTTATGTGGGTAGGTTGCAAAAATCTGTAATATAATAACCCTTTTGCTCCCATTCTAAGGCAGAATTACAAGAAAATTATAATGCATATTTAGTTCCAACCAATTTTATGTCTTCCAGGAACCCATCTTTAGTAAAGTGACAGGAGTCTTAACTGGCCCCTGAGCACACAAAGGAGAGATCACAAAAAATAGCTCTTTCTCCCAAATTACAACTAAACTTGAGGAGGGGAAGGTCGATGACATTACTATTCACAAGATTCATGCAAAGTATTAACAAAGTCAAAATGGCAACCATAATGATGCTCTGCCCCATTTTTATTTATGGCACATGTTTTTACAGATGTCACATGTCCAATGTACAAAAGGGACAAGTTTTTAATTGTGTGGTCACAACTTCCATTTGGACTTTTTTGACACTTCCCCCAACAACAAATCTTTCTAGTTGTTCCTATAATAAAATAATACCAGTGCTGTCCTCAGCAGCTGAGGAATTCTGGGAATTGAGGTCTACAAGTCTTAAAGTCACAAAGTTTGGAGACCTCTGCTATAAAGCATGGCATATACTGGTGCAGAAACCATAGTTCAAGAATAAGTGTACAATGTTATGCACTTAAATATAATGGAGATTGTTTCTAAGTAAACATAGGACTGGCAAATCTGAAATGAAAGGCCAAATCTCCCAAAAAATATGTTTGCTCTATTATTTGCTGACCAACCACTGTATTCTATAGGCTTGCTTTTTTGAGGAAAAAAAAACCCTTACATTTAAGTTTAAATTTACACATGCAATATTCCATAAAATATGGAAGCTTTTCCTGTATCATCCCATAATTTATGTAACAGTTGCAGTAAATTGCTCAAGAAAGATTTTTAATGTGATTCACCCAGCTTCCATACTTTGACATTTTCCTTATGCAGACTTTTTAAATGCAAATGTTATTGCATATGACTTCCACTAGCACGCGTTCTCACTGGCACTTTTTTTTTCAGATTATTGATTGTAAAAAGACAAACACTAGTCCATTTTGTTTCATGCTAGGATTTGTATCTCTGTTGAAATTCAGACACTAAAATTTACTGCTGACCGAACTGATGATTAGAATGTTTTTTACGTGCTTAACCAAATGCAGATTTAGCATTTCGCGCTTTTTTCTCTATTTGATTATAGAGAAGAGCTTAACATTTTCTGATTTTTCACTCAGGAAGGTTTCCCTCTCTCCACTGTGATTTCAGAGTCACCAGAAAGATAATACAGCCGATTTTGAGGCATTTTTTCCCCCATACTCTATGGTCTCTTTCTCAGGTGTCACTCGACTCTTTATCCCCATATACAGATAGATATGATCGCTAAATCCAGGTGGTTTTATCTCCCAAATGTCTCTAAAATCTTCCATTTCCTCTTCATTCTCACCACAGAAATATAAAACTTGTCAAGTCCATCATCCTCTTCATCCTTGATTATTGCAACCTCGTTTTCTTCAGGTTCCTGCTGATACCCTCAACATTCAGGTTTGCCACTAATCCGTTGTGAAAATAATCCTCCATTAAGATAGTGCTGTGACATTCCTAAATTGTCATCTCTGCCAGTTCTCTATTGCCTGCTACATCTGATGTAAGCTTCTTGTATTATCCTTAATAGTCTTATGGGTTGACCCCTTTCCTGCTCCCGTCTGCTTTTCACTTTTCATTCCTGTCTTCTTGGCTCATCTAAGCTCCCCATCAAATTCTGTCTTTTTCCCTCCTTTCCACCTCTGAACTTTTTATGTGGTTTTCTTTCTTCTTTTTCTTTTTTGTCGGTCTTATAAATGATGGCGAAATACAGCTGAAAAATATGACAAGGGAAATGGAGTGAACAATTCCAATTATCCAAGATGGCAACAAATTAGAGCCAGCAAATGAATTTGTGCACCTTGATAATGTATTTACTAAAATGACAAAACTGATGGGGGATGTGGAAATACAGGTGGAAATATTGTAATAAATTAAAGAAAGGGTGGGATCTGTTGTGAGGATGAATGTTAACTAAAAGAGAAATTGGCTAGGTTTAAGGACATGCTTCTTCCTGCTTTGTTATATGAAGTGAGACTTGTTATAGACAAAAACACTCAAGAACACAAATTTCCCTTCATAACACACACTGCAACCAAGCAGAGATTAATCTAAGGCATTCTTCCTGCATGATAGGAACCAATTATGCCAATGTTTACTCAATGCAGTTTTTGTGGACATGAAGTCAGAACTTTCCCCATTTTATTTCTGGTCCTTGTTTGTTTGTGTTGGATTTTTTTTAGTGGGGAGATTGAAAATGGGAAAATCTCATTGACAGGCATAAATGCTGCAGCTGCAGCAAAAGCAGCGGGATTTTGCTTTAATATCATTTCCTACCCAAAACCTCCTCATCCAAAAAGTGATTGACAGCTTGATGTACTGTACCTTTTTTGTGTAAAACTGGACAAGCTGAGGAAGGTGGCTCTTAAACGGTTTACAGACTAGTTATTTATAAATCCCTTGTAAAATGAAATACAGTCCAGATAGAAAACAATAAGATGGAAAAGAACCCCATCTGTCTCAGTCCTTTTGGGAGTGAATTTGGGAATCCATTTTCACTGGAATTTATGGCAGGAGACTTCTCACTACTAGCACAACAATTTTAAAGCTTTAAAAGTTGTAAGAACCCATGGGTCTGCTTTTCATCTTAAAAAATATATATTGGCACCCATAGTATAGTTTAGTGAATTTTTCCAGACTAGAAAATTATCCTATCATATTATATGGTTTTATATGTCTGGGCATTTATTTCATTCAGTCATTGTCCAGGCAGGATAGGTATAAAAAAAAAGGAATTATTGGACATCTGTGAGATCATTACAGTTCTCCTTTTCGGCCTTTCAGCTGTTATTTATTGCTATTGGTACTTGTGTAAACTATCCCTAAAATGAACAAAACATGGCAGGAGAGTGATAGGCAACAGACAAAAAAATTGCTTCCCTTTCTGTAGACTTCTTTTGTAGAGAAGCACAAGCAAAATGGCATGGAGTATGTTGGAGTAAGGATGGTGTATATCCAAAAAAGGGGAAAAAATCCTTTCCCATAAGCATCACGAAAGTGAGGATTGATACTTCTGTCAGTCCAAGATCTTCTGAATTTAATTTCTTTTGAAGAGTTTGCTCAAAGTGAAACAGGAGGCAGCTTGAGAATACACAGTAAGATTTCCCACAGCTTTTGTGCTTAGCGGAAACTACATCCAATTGGGAGAAAGAGCCCTCTGCCTTCACACATAAGGCCTGCACACACCTCATTATTAATATTATATGGTATTTTCAGGTAAACATTGGAATACTTTCTCAAGAACTCTTGAGCACTACATCTTATTTGTAGTCAAGCTTCTATTCAATCAAAGTCTTGGAAGATGATGCCATAAAAGAAACAATGAGGTATTCCTTATGTAGGAATGACATTTCAGTACATCACATTGGAAGAGGTTTACAGCAAGCTTCCAAAGAGTCACACAGACCAGAGGCTATAACAGGAATTAACACATCAGAGATAAAGAGAATGCATTTTTTTCATCATTCTTTGTTTGGTCTAAAAAAATTATTGTTTCCCACTTCCCCACTGCACAATATAGTTTCATTGCTCCTTTTATCCCTTAATTATTGTGATGTCACCTCCTTTAGAATTTCAACCTATATCTCCCTGCGTAAGTTTCCCTGCTGGCCCTGAAATTCTTTGCTGCACATTCAGTTTCCTGCCTACTTCCTTCCAGAGCTTTACAACTTTGTTTTCCACACAAAAGAAATCTTAGTGGATTTCCTGTACCTCCTTCTTATACTGCTGCTGTTAAAGTGACAACATTTTACATAGCAGCTGGGATATTTTGGATACTCAAGGCAAGCCATCAACAAGGCAGAATCAGTCAGACTTCACAAGCTTTGAGGATACTAGAGTTTTGATATGCTCAACCACCTTCAACAAAGAGAGATAATAAGTTAGCACCTGCTTTGCTCCTTGTTTTTATTTCTGCTCTGTTCTCCATAGCCTTCCAAAGCCAAGTTTGGTTTACAGCTCTTTCCACAGCCCTTAACATCTCAACCTCTGTACTCATCTTCCATGCTGATCTTGACATTCCCATCTTTTCTGTTAGCCTTTCTATATAACTCTTTTCTTTTGTCTCCCAACTCGTTATTCACCATTTGAACCTACCTTGCCCTTTCGTTAAAAGATCTGGAAGAGCATATCTAAGGATACATGTCATTGTAAGGTCAGCAGTTTTACAAGGATTTTGTCTTCTGTTGACATGTATGGATATTGGGCACATGAGCATGCATCATCCAACAAGATTCCTTCATTTGTAACAACAGAACTCAAAACTGGACACTTCGTAGAAGCACCATCCATGAAGCTTCTCTTGCTTTTAGGTAGGTGATTTCCCTTTCTGAATAAAGATTAAGACTAAATTACAGTTAGGAAAGAAGCAAGGTTCTTATAACAATACAGAAATCCCTTTATGGTAGTTGCTACATTTGACAAGTGCAACAGATTTTTAGCATCTGTAAGAACTGGCATGCAAGAATCATTATGAATTCATTGTCATTGAATCTGGAGGAGAAATTGCATTGTAATAAAACACAGCCAAAGAAGATTTATTTGTTTATAAATGGCCAGGTTTTTTTTAAAAAAGATGCATTCTTTGCATGAAAGAATATTAATAATGTATAAAAATGCCACAGAGGATATGAGCCAGTTCAACATTATATTTACAAAGTTATTTAATCTTAAGCTTTAAAGAGGGTTGTGTTATTGAACAGATATGCCCGGGATTCACATTTTTGCAGTTATCAAAACTTCTTGATCATTAAACTATAGTTTGTTTTTAAAATGTGGGAGTAAATCCCACTGAATGTTTGTTCATTCTTTTTTCTTTATATTAATATCCACAAGCAAACATGTACATATATTTGTATACGTATGTGTGGGGAGATGTACACACACACACACCTATAAACACATGCACACATATACACACATGTATACATAAAACAAAGGAAAGAATTTTTATGAAAGCATGGAAAAAAACAGCAACATAAAATATGACAGAGACAATAAAACATTCCTAACAAAAATATTTTGAAATGCTTACTGAGATATATAACTATTTTTTAGGAGAGCTTTTAAAACTTTAGTTGTGGGAATGTAATTTTCCGTTTGGGAATAGGATGCCTCAAGTTCATGCTAGCAAGTCCCAAACTTATTGAAGTAGAGCTAGTTTTAAAATTCAGCATGTGGTTTACTCTTAACATGAGCAATTTTGTGTTGCTTTTCAATCCCTGTAGTGTTTCTTGCCACTCTGCTGGATAGTTGCTACAGCCTCCAGAACTGTACCAACCCATGTCACAAGTATGCAAAATGTGAAGTTCGCAATGGAATCCATGGTTGTTACTGTAGCCCAGGATTCACCGGACCTGGGATTGATGCAGATGGTAACAGTGGTTGCTCTGGTGAGAGACTAGCTTTGTTTGATAACTTTTCCTCCTTTTGATAGTCTTGTAATTACATCCAACATCGTATGGGGGAGAACATTAAATGTAGATATATGAAGGTTGTATAATAATATTGTAGAGCTGGGGATTCTTTTGCAAGTCATTTGGAGGAAATGCTTTGAATCCTGCCCAAGTGCAAGCACAGCAGTTACCTGTTTTTAAAGCAGACTTTTTAGATTTCCATCTAAAAAAAAAGATACAATTGATACAGGCATTAATTCATTAGAATTAAAAGACTCTTAAAGCAACAGCATCCGTTCTGTTAAGGCTCACTCAGAAGCCCAAAAGGAGATGTGGCTGCTTTAAATGGTAAGGCATGGAGAGGGGTTGTTGGATGTTGTGTTCAGTTTTTTCTGTATACAGCTGTATAATGTAGTTTGTTCCTGAAATTTTGGCATTTCTTAAGGCTTGTGCAACTGCTCAGGCAAGCATATCCTTAATTCTGGAATTCCGGTAGAATGTTGTGATGTCGTTGCAGTTCATGAGAAACAAGCATTAGCAGTATGAGCTTTTCCAAACCAAGAATAGATCACATAACGCTTAGCACAATAGATTGTTAGCCAGATGAAAAATTCAATGGCAATAAAAATTATACTTTACAATGCTAGTTTTCTGAAAATTATATCCTGTTTGTTCAACAGTCACCTGCAAAGTTTTTACTCACTGCCACTTTGCTTTGAAGTAACTTTCATAATAGAGCAACCGAAGACAGAATCGCTGGAGAGGGATAATTATTTGTTGATTCCTCTCTAGGTTTTAGGTGCTAATGAAGGATTTTATCTATGGTTTAAGTTTTAATAAATGCTTAACCTGTCAATCCTAGGCATGCTTATTGTAAAATTATTCCCAAATTATTCAGAAAAGTTCTTCTTACTGAATAAGCTTTTACAGGATAGCCATATCGGCCTATGATTCTGTGCATGTTTTTGACATGTCATTATTACAGCTATTAAGCTGCCAACGTAAAAACACAGATTAAATATTCATATTTATACATATTGCAAGCACATATAACAAATATAGAAAATAATCTGGTTGCAAATACAACAGATGGCAAATTAATGCTCATTTTCATGATTATATTCATGATACTTTCTATCCAATTATAATAAACACTGTTCTGTGGTGTTTCTCAAGATACTGATTACGGTAATATATTGCATTTTTGCTGTCTTATCTAATTGTTTTGAAATTTATGATCAACCTTCTCCTCAATTAATAGAAAACCAGATTCCATTTTAAACTCCCAAAATGCCCAGGGGTGTTGCTGTATACCTGGGATATACAAAGATGCAGCTTTTCATGTGAAGAGTACTCCAAATCAGCATGCAGAATTTCTGACTAGATTTTATACTTTTTATTATGAGATCCTTTCTGAGGATCTAGGATAGCTGAAATTACCATTGTAATATTAATTAAAATAGAAATAATTAAATAAATGATATTAATTTCATCGCACAATCAGCCAAATGTTCAGAATGGATTTGGCATTTTTATCACTTATTGAGTTCTTCCCAAGGACCTGGCTAGGGAGAGGTTGATGTTTTATTGTGTTAGATGTATGTTTTCCTTATTTTCTTTTTGTTGGCTTCCTTGAATATTTTGTGCTGGAATGCAAAAAAGAAGTAGTTTAACTAAAAGAAACACTTCCCACAGCAAGGAAATATTATGTCTAAGAACAAGATAATAGAGCACTTTAAAATTAAAAGAAAAAAATGTTTCTGGAAGGCAGTAATAGTATGGGGGTTAATATTTTCTGTCTTCTAAGAACATATCTACTATCTTGTAATTGGATAAGATCTTGGAAGGATTAAAAGACAGTCAGGATAATAATTAGCTTGAAGCTAAAATATGGAACAATGCTTTGACTTAATGATATGTTAGATATTGTGGTCTATATGCCCCCCCTCCCAATTTCTTTTTTTCATAGAAAGACTTTCACTGTTGTAGAGATAAATGCTGGCTTCATTTTAATTGATAATCTTTGTTAGCAGTTATTCTTCTATCAACACAGATTCATTTTCATGTGCTCACAGGAATCTTAGTTCCCCAAATAGCACCCACAGTGAAAGCATATTAGTTAGATAGGTGGTAACGTTCACTGTTACTGTTATTAGCATCAATTTAACAATTTTGCACCTGTTCAGTAATAGCTAGTTTTTAATGATATTGTTAATGATGTTATTTAAATACTCATTTTTCCCACTCTATTTCTGGCACTATTTTATTGGAATAATCAAAGAAGCCACAGGAGCTATTGCTTACAAAAATAAAATTCAACCTTTGGAAAAAAAATAATTTATCATGGTAAAGAAAAGATCAAAGTTATAAATTTAATTTCTTCTAAGCTTATTCAATTATAAATCTAATTCTTATCTGTTTGAAAAAGCAGGAGAATTGCAGTCTGAGTAAAGTTTCAGTTCTCCTTGAGCAGAAAGAAGTGGCTGGGAGCCAATATTTGTCATTTATGCTTCACCTTCCAGACTTGATTGCTTATCAGTTTACAAATTGACTATTAACAATCAGATTATTATTTAACTATTAAGAGCAGCATGTTTCTATCACCTCTTTCTTTTGCAGAAAGCATCTGCCAATAGCTTTGGGAACTTTTCCTTCAGTCATTCTTGGTCTAATCTATGACTGCAATCTGTCTTCTCAGAATGACAATGACAGGAAGTGGCTTGAGAACTATACAGTATAAGTTTTATTATCCATGTGGCAAGTGGAATCTAAAAATCAAGGAGTTAAAATTGCTGCCAAATCTCTAGGGTTTCTGCAATAACTCTTAAAATCTTTTTTCCATGCCCCAGAATGTGAATCCTGAGAACTTTCACATATATAGTCAGATCTTCAACAAGAATACATTTGTACATCAATACATGCACTCTCTTTCTTTCATAAAACACATGCACATATACAAATCTATAATCAAATTAAGATTACTTTTCCCAGTATATGTGCATAATGATGCAGAGGGGACAAATGATAAACTAAGTCACTTGTAGGCAATTCAATAGTTTAGGTTCACAAAGAGCTCTTCACTTAATTTCATTGTTAATTTCAAGCAACAAATTCAGATATTTGGTGGTGATCCATTACACCTTTGGGTATGTAAGAAGGGAAGGGAAGGAAGTTAAACAGGATGTGGAAAAGGGTGAGAAGGAGTCAGATGAGGGCTTTGTATTTGAAGATTGAACCATTTCTGTAAATTACAATTACAGTTTTATCTTTGATTTAAATATAAATCAAATATTTGCAGAAAAATGCAGAAAAATAAAATTAGTGCTATGTATAATCCCTATTCAAAAACAATTCAAGTACTGTTAGATACCTAAGGGTGACAAAGAGATAAATGAAATGCAATGTTTGGAATGTTTCCCTTCCTTTCCCCCATATTAGAGATAAAAAGAGCTGACATACAGTCTGTTTTGTAGCTTTACTATTTTATTATTCCTTATCTTTTGACTTGCCAATTGCCAATTTGCTGTAGAAATAGCACAGTACTCCACAGTAGCAAAATATTCAACTAGTAGTTGAATCATAGTAGGGTTTTTTTAAAAAAAAAACTTTCTAAAGTATGTCAGGACAATGAAGCAAAGTTGTTTGTTCAATTGAGCCCCACAGGGAGAGTGGAGACACAACAGCACAATATTATTTTGCAAATATGTATCACAATTTTCATTCTTACAAAACAAATCAATCTCCCCTGAAAAAGCAGAAGCAGCTTTCCTAGATATCAAGAATAGGGTAGTCAGGTCTACTTTAATTCATATGTAGCTATTTCTCTGAAAAGTTATAGTACCTCTCTTTCCAAATACAAAGCAATTGTATTTGCTTTAGAAGTAATTCTGCAACTCAGGCTATCTTTTAAGAGAACCAATATCACAACATTTAGCATACATTCTGAAACACACCAACAATATAATGCATGAGATGTACACAATAAAGATATTGATATCATGTGTGAGAGTTGCTTTGATTTCAGATCAGGTGATTTTCCTTTAGCTCTCTATCATCCAAAAATATTAACAACTGTGTTGAAATAATTATTAATCATCTCAGTACTTAGCTGTTGGTGTTTCTTGTTTCTTATGAGTAATGGGCACTAGTTTTCTATTCTCTGTTGCAGACTTCTGTCATATCTCTTGAAGTATTTTTTTTTATTTATCATATTTATATACCCTCTCACTTCACAAATGTAAATATTGAAGAAAATATGCTGAAGCCAGAGATATATTGCAGCAAATATCAAAAAGATCAAGCTCGTTTTGACTCCCCCCCCACCCCCGTTCATATTAGCTTCCAGAATGTTTTCCTTGGGTAATGTCAAAATCTTCTCTAAAAAGATGTCCTTTAAACCTGTCTAAGGAGTCCCCCTGCAGATTTTACTTCGCTAGTCATTGCCAACTATAGTCGTTGCTCATCTCTGTTTCAAGGCCATTGAGCCAACGCTGTCCAAAGACATTTCTGTGGTCATGTGGCCAGCATGACATCACAGAGCATGGTTACCTTCACACCAAAGTGGTACCTATTTATCTACTCGCATCTGAATGCTTTTGAACTGCTAGATTGGCACTTGCTGAGGTGAGGACAGGAGCTCACCCTGTCATATGACACTTGGGTCTCGAACTTGGGCTGCCAGCTTTCCAGCTGACAAGCCCAACATCTTAACCTCTGAGCCACCAAGCTACCATTAAACCTGTCTAGGGTTGAGAAGATGAATTACAACAGAACATTACATTTGCCAACTTGATTTCATTCAAATGTGCTTGGACAATAGATAGTCAACAAAAAGCACTGATATGTTCTGAGTTTCCAGGAAAATTTTAAAAGGAGAAAAAAAGTGTTACCTTCTGTTGACTAACATTGGAGGGCTGCTACCATTTGAAGTAGTTCCTTCTAAAGAAAAATGACATAGCTCCTAAAATATTATTTGCTATATTTCTAGCATGAGAAAA